CTCAGTCTTGTACTGAGACAGTCCTGAAACAGAGCAAAACAACACGCACGCCAAACATCCCGCTTTCACGTCTGCGACCTCTCGTCAAAAACGTTTGCACATGGGTGCTGATTGCGAAGCTAATATTTAAACCTCCGGTTGACGTCCGTGAATCAAAAACGTCCAATGCTTAAGGTGGCTCGTACCGGTTTTCATCTTTTATATGGTTCGTAACTTTGAAAGAATACAACAGAAAGACTGACCAAGGCCAGTTGAACACGGGGTTGAATTATATAATCATTAGAGAGCTTAAGCACCAGACGTTCTTGAGGTCACGAACGCCTACCGGAAGTCATTAGAGGAACTATGTACATACTGCGCATGTCATGACGTTCGCGTGGTCACGTCGCAGACACCTGAACGCCACTTTTCAGGTTGAAGGTAGGACGCCATGATATGCTGTTATTTTGTTTATAGGAGATAAATTATTGACTCAAAACCATAAAAAGCTCTTCTGCTTTTCATTAAGTGATTAAAAAACGTTTTTGTAGCGCGTCAAGTGGTTTTTGCTTAATCGATAGATTAAAAGGGATTCGACAATAACGGCAGACAATCTTCTCGCCAAGTCTGTGTGAGTTAAGTCATTTGATTTCATGTCCATTTGGATCATCAAATGTAGAACTAAGATTTTTTTAAACCGGGTTTAAGCTTATCACAAATTACTTTGAGCGATAATTTAGAATTAAGACACTTATGCGACATTTAGATACAATAACAAAGTGCAAAATGAGATAGATGATTGTCTTTCTGCATCGGTTGTATTTTGTAACTGCACATTGTATATTGTATGCATGCCTGCTAGGTTTTGAGCAACCAACTACAAACATAAGAATAACAAATCTCGCTGTGGTTAACGAATTTAGAAAAAGAGAAATGGTCCTCTAGGCATCCAGATCATGCACTGAAAACTTCATGCTCGCTCGTTTGTTTTCGTTTACACAACTATGAAGTAGTAAATTTCAAGTCGCCTAATAAATATGAAAGACGAATTATTCATACTGTCAAGAGAGTGAGGTAAAGAAACTTATTCCCTTGCTCATTAAGGTCATATCTCTAGCATCTTTTAGCAAAGACATGTTAACACGGGTAGAAGTCCGTGACTGAAGAACGTCGATTGCTTAACCTTCCTATTTCGCGCCAAGAACGAAGGCCTCGATCTAGTCTTACGCGGCTTCTCTGCCGTTCGTGTTGTCAAGAACGTCTGGTGCTTAAGCTCTCTAATATCTTCTTCACGTGCTTACTGCATTTAACAAGTCAACCTTGAGAGAGAGGAGGGGGAGGATGGCGATAGGAGGGTAAAAGATATGGCTTTTATCATCAAAACCTGTTTACTCTAGCAATGTGGAAGATCAAATTGTTCAAAAGAAAACACAAGTACAAGAAGTATTACAAATTATTTAATACCAGGAATTTCAATCACTGAACCCTTAAAAACGCTTACAAGTAATTGCTTCAGTTTTTCAATTATCTCCTCACTCTTCCTCGTCATCATCGTCAACAACAACCCGCCTGGCTTTTTTGTAAGAATTCAGTGGTAAGTTAAATTTCTCGTCCTCATCATCACTAGTTGCATCACCGTTATCATCTCTTGCTCTTTTCTTACCAGCCTCAGTACGTCTAACCTCGCTGTGGTTGCCACTAACATCCTCTGTATTAGACAAATTTCTGCTGTATTCTAAATCACCATTCTCACTATCCGACGCAGTAACATTCCCGTTAGTAGCCTTATTTTCCTTATCATCTTCATTCTCGTTAGACTCGCCCTGTCCATTGTGAAGGCTTCTTCCCAATTCAGTATCATCTTCATCACTATCATCCAATGCTCTTACTCGCCGTTTACCTCGTTTGGAAGATTCTTTCCTGTTAACACTATTTTGTGCCCCTGAGGGTGGGGGAGATCGGGGTTCTTTATCACCCGTGTTCTTTAATTCACCTGGATCCTCATCACTGCAAAGAACAAAAACAACACTTATTTACCAAGTGATGCAAGCTTTCTTACTTTTGTTTTACTGCTCTCTGTGATAAAAAACAAACTCTGATTAGATACAACACATAAGAACGTTTCAAGCCTTTCTGGTGCAATCCCGTCTCCAGTGTCCTTTCTCCTTGACTAACCATCCGGGAAGAAAACGGGTAATGCGTTCATGTTAGGTCCATATCACGTCCCAATAACTAATATCCATTAATACTAAGTATGATAACCTTCAAGTGTGTTGCACGATATGTCCTACCTATCCTTGTTCTACCAGTTACCCTCATCTTCTTTAAGTTACCCTTGTTCTACCTCATTAACCCTCATCTACCCTAAGTTACCCGTGTTATACCACATTAACTCTCATCTACCCTAAGTTACCACATTCACCCCCATCTACCCTTGGTTAGCCATGTTACACCGCGTTTACTCCCATCTACCCTAAGTTACCCATTCTCTACCACGTTTACCCCCATCTACCCTTGGTTAGCCATGTTCTACCACATTTACCCCCATCTACCCTTGGTTAGCCATGTTCTGCCACGTTAGCCCTCATCTACCCTAGGTAACTCATGTTCTACCACATTCATCCTCATCTACCCTAGGTTACCCATGTTCTATCACGTTCACCCCCATCTACCCTAGGTTAGCCACGTTACACCTCGTTTACCCCCATCTACCCTAAGTTACCCATGTTCTACCACGTTCACCCCCATCAACCCTAGGTTAGGCACGTTAAAGGTGAAGGTAAAGGTCTCTATTTCTTTAAACAACATACGTGTTTAGTTACAATTTTAAGGTTGAAATCAGACAGGCGCCTCTGGCAGCCGTGTTTAGTCCGTAGCGATTTCACCTACCCACCCAACCCACCCCAGGGAGGACATCCATCACACAGTAATCTCGTGCGTGGGAAATTAACGTCTCCTACCCCAACCCTGCAGGAGACGGGACCTCCATTTATTCGTCCCTATCCGAGAAGACTAGAATATCTAACCATTTCTTGATGTTAAAGAAAGGAAGCATATTCTTCTCATTTAAGGAGGGATACATCCCATCACTTCTAAAATCTTCCATCGTCACCCCAATCCCAAAGGTAAACCCACCAAGAGAAATAAAGAGCGATCTCCGCCCGATATCGCTCACGTGTACTCTGGCAAAAGTCATGGAGGGATTCACATGCAATAAACTACTGCCACAGTTACATGGAAAAATCGACCCGCGACAGTTTGCGCGTAGAGGCCACTCGACAACAGATGCTCTTCTATTCATGTTACAAGCCATTTACGAGGCAGTAGATTGTACTGATCTAGGAGCTCGGGTCTTCTTCGCTGACTTCTCGAAAGGCTTTGATTTAATTGACCACAACATCTTAATGACTGAGTTGCGAAAACTAGAGGTTGATCCAGCGCTCATCAGTTGGATCGAGGCGTTCCTAACCGACAGACAGCAAGCTGTAAGAATAGGTACAACACTATCAGAATGGAAATTCCTCAAGGGAGGTGTGCCGCAGGGAACTAAATTAGGAATGATACTTTTCACAATAATGACAAATAATCTTTTAGCTGATTGGCACCTGAGAGTTAAGTTTGTGGATGACACGTCTGCCATAGAAATACTACCCAGGAACTCTATCAGTCTGCTCAATACGATCGTTTCTAACATTCACGAATTCTCCATAGACCATAACATGAGACTAAACCCTACTAAATATAAAGAGATGTTAATTAACTTTATGTCGTATCCTAATTTTACTCTCAGACCATTAGTTATTGGTAATAACACTATAGAACGCTTATCGACTTACAAGATTCTAGGAGTATTCATCGATAGCGACCTTAGGTGGAATAGTCACGTTAACTACATATATAAAAAAGCTTGCAAGAAGCTCTACTCTCGACGTATTCTACGTCGAGCCGGCTTTGACCAAGGTAGCATGTTAAAGTCTATACAAGCGCTGTTAGATCTGTTATGGAGTACGCCGTACCAGTATGGCAATCCATTCCAGGTTATCTGTCTGACAAAATTGAATCCATACAGAAAAGGGCGCTTAAGATAATTTTCCCATGTGCCGATAGTTAGCCAGAAGCCCTCGAGTTAGCACGGGTGGAGACCCTTGCGTATAGAGGAGATAAGATATGTAAAGAGTATATGTGCAAAATGAAGGACTTAAACCACCCTCTCCATCCTCTTCTACCAATATGCTTAGACGATACCTGTCGCTATAACCTCGGGCACAAATCAGACCAGTTGTATCTTTACAGAAACGTTACTACCTGTAGAACGAAGCGCACCGAAGACTTTTTAACTTTTAAGTATTTTTAACAAATGTGATGTATGTTGCGTGTAGTGTATATAACTTGTACTTAATGTATACAGAAATGTATATGTTCGTTCTTATTAAGTTTTCATTGTATCATAACTCGTTAATTCAGTAAGTTACTGCAAAAGAGTTTAATAAACTACGATTATTATTATTATTATTATTAATTATTATTATTATATCTACCCCAAGGTTAGCCATGTTCTACCACGTTAATCCTCATCTACCCTAGGTAACCCATGTTCTACCACATTCACCCCCATCCACCCTAAGTTAGCCGTGTTACACCTCGTTTACCCCCATCTACCCTAGGTTAGCCATGTTCTACCTCGGTTACCCCCATCTACCTTAAGTTACCCTTGTTCTACCCCGTTTACCCCCATCTACCCTCGGGTAGATAGGGGTACCCCAAAAGTGATTAAAGTGCCAACTTTGAATTAGCTAATATGACTTACGATTAACACATACCTATCACTGTCATGGCCTGTGTTATCATCTGGTGCCACATCATTCATAGCCTTTCTCCATTCTTTCCCGCCTCGTCGCCTGTTTTCCAGTCCAGTCCGATTGCGTTCTTTTCTTTTCCGCCTTGACGCCGATCCGTTGTTTTTCCGTGCGGCGGCAGCAAGGGCAGCTAAAGCTTTTTTACGTGACTTACTCTTACTAACGGCTGATGGTGTCACCGGATCTTCATTGACGGCTTAAAATGGTGTACAATACCAAAAAAAGAAGTCATTCAGCAAAGAAATGTGATGGAAAGTTAAAATAAACTATCTTAGAGGATGAAAAAAAAAAGGACACATGAGTTGTATGTTTTAAATAAAGAGCAACATTTTGATTGAAATGAAAGTTTGATAAAGTAAACGATTTACAGCACACCCTAACAAAATAGAAAATATCGTAGGCAGAGAACAATTGTTTAATTGCTCTACAAGATTGCATGCTAGAGCTGGTTTTAATGGAGTGTTGAAGTTATCCTAACGACCAATCAGAGCAAGGTTTACATTAATTTATCATCACCCAATGACGAACGACCAAATCGCGAATGTTTGGAGTTTGCCTCTGATTGTTCGAGACTATAGCGCATTTTTTCTGGACCAATCACAGAGCAATGTTAAGTAAAATCAAAGCAATCCGGATTACTTTCAACAATTTAATGAAAATTGCCCTATATTGGGGGAACGATCATAAGGAAAGATAGCTAAACAAAACTTCTACCGAAGCAGCATTCTCCAAGGGTATGATGTAATGCATGACCTAATGACTTCCGATCTGGTCAAAGACTGGCTCTGATATAATGACAACCAGACAAGAGTCTCATGGGCAAAGATATTTAAAGCAAGGAATGGATATTCGTACCTTCTTCGTCATCCCCAGTATCAGTCCCTTCAAGGTCCTTAGCTGCCATTCGAAGCCGTTCTGAGTTAAGGCTTATTGGAATTCTCCAGAATGTTTCCTGAAAAACGAAACAAGAAAACAATTGAACGAGAAACAAGCGCTTGTGTACTGAACGGTTGGGTTTGTGGTGCGAGAAAATGTTTGTGCTATGAAGCCAAGATCCAAATCAGTCATCAGTTATACGATGTCACAGCCCTATGATGACACTAGGCTGACCTGTTCACTGGCTGGAGGTTTCAGTCCAACTTTCTTAAGTGCTTGTCTGAAGAGCTTGTTACCCAGGGCCTCCTCGTTTTCTTCTGTGATCGTCACTAAGGGAAGTGGTTGCCATTTTTCCTTATCTGTGAAAATTAGCGAAATTTACAAATGGACTAACATTTGTGGATGGTGTTACCATAACAAAACACAAACTATTTGGGCGTTATAGAGAAGTGGCTGTTAGTGGAGGTTTTATTTTTTATTCTTTTTTTTTCCAAATTTAGCGGGAATTAATCTTAGGCTCGACTCCAAGTAGTTAGGCTTCTCTCAGAGACAAAAGCGGTTTGGAGATGGGGATGCGAAAGAAGCTGCTCATAGCTTTCTCAGTTGGTGAATTTCAAGTGGGCTGCACAAATGAAATCACTGTTTTCTGACAGAATGCTAACAAGTTGTCCAAACAAAGACACAACTGACCAAATGCAATCATAGTGAACTTTTTATGTCAGCAAACAGATGGAATGTCCTTAATCTTGCACATCACTGCTCAGTAAATGTTTACGTGGTAAAGTGTTGAAAAGAGGTCCTAAACATTAACCTGTGCTTTCTCTATCATCTGCTGTCCTGAGAAGTTTGGATTGAATCCACTCTAACTGCTCCTTCAACCCTTAAAAATATAAATTTCTTATCAAAATGGAGAACACAAGAGAACATTGAAATTAGTTCCAGCATTGGCTTTCTCTCGATCTATGGAATTCATCTTTGCATCTTTGAAGTATGCATACCTGCGTTTGTCAGCTTGTTAATGATGTTATTCAGGGATCCTTCGCTGATATCAGCCTCTTTTTCATCATCACCATCAGTTGTTGATTCTTCTTCAGAAAAAGACGGATGATCAAAACCCTCTTCGATGGCATCACCACCTAAAAAACCAAAAAGGCCATTATTTATAGTTAACAATGCACATAGCCATATCAAAATCACGCTTACGTACACAGAACTATCATGACTTTTTTTTCTCAGAGAATGCACCGAATTAGCATTGATCTAATCCACCAGTCAAAACAAAGCGTCCAAAACAAGATTTGAAAACTATTTTGTAAAACGGAAAAGCTGAAAAAAATCGAGGCCTAGATACTTTTCTCGTTTTTTCTTCTTTTTGTTCGGGCCATGATGTGTTTAAAACTGTACGTAGCAGTTTCCAAAAGTTTATCCGGTATTTCAATCTACCTTCACTTTCGCCGCCTTCATCGTCGTCATCCTAAAAAAAAAAATAACTGATGAGCTGTTACGTTTATCAAATAAGTATAAAAGTAGGTAGCAAAAGTGATGCTTTTGAACGCAATTTCCATCTTCTCGCGAGGTAAGAGGGTGTAAAAACAAAGTTTGCCTTTATTTGAAGGGCATCGACAAAAATACTCCGTATAAGTCAAAATGTTCTTTTGAAATTTTGGTAAAAAAGTTTTGAAATGCAATGTTTTGTAATTTTTGATACTGTCAATTCAAGGGACGCTGAAACGCATAAATGAAAATAATTAGAAATAGATTTTAAATCGGGACCGATTTAGTTTTTGTAGCTAAAAAAAACAACACTACGCTGCGTTAGGTCAGTACCGTGCGTGAGAGGATCGATGCCGTCACGTGAAAAAATTGGGAACAGCACAAATTTCAAGCAATTATTAATGATAGCATTCCATCCTTTTTCAAAGAGCAAGCAATGTAATTTATCGACGATACTAGCCCGATAAAGTCGAGTGCACGGAACATTGTCTCAAGAATGGAGTACTTCGAAACATAATAATAATAAAGTCTTTATTAAGCACTCTAAACAACAAACGTGTTTAGTTACAATGATATGAACTCAGCAAGTATAACACTAATTAACTAACTAAATTACTAACTGACTAACAAATAAGAGAACAAACATCTATTAACAAAAGTCCTCTTGAAACGTTCAGTTCTGACAAGCGGGAGAATATAATTATGGCGCCTCTTACGTAGCGTAACCACTGGTCGCTCTGGTGGCAAAAGGTCATCTAAAGTTGTTGTAAAATCGCTGTCGGTGATCTTGGCCCACAACTTCTTATCTTTTAGAATAATAATATTTTCAATGGAAAAAAGCTCTTTACAGTAACCAAGCTTAAAAGCTCTCTTGAACAGCCTGTCTATGCGACTCAGATACTTATGATAATACGCGAAGCCCCATACTTCTACAGCATATGTAAATATAGGTAGAATAAGACTGATAAAAAGAAGATGACATAATTACCACTAAAAATCCGTCATTCTTTTGGTTCTTCCTTTTATTTCCCTTCGTCCTCTTCTTACGAAGCATCTTTCGGTCTTCGACGAGTCCCAAGTTCACCAGCTGGTTTATAACCTATAGATGATAAATATGCAGTCACTAAGGATTTGTCTGTTTCTTTAAATGAATGTTTGTAATTCAATATTTAACACTATAATACAATTAGAGACCGCCACAGATAAATGAAGACCAGGAAAAATCTACCAAGGGACTTGATTCAGTAACTTGATTCAGTAACTGACCTGATCAAGCAGTCACAGGGTCATGTCGGGAATTTTAACTATGGCCGTTAGAAACAGCACCAGCCATATAAGCTCCAGTCAGATTTTTTTGCCTTACGCTTTACATTTCTCTCTAAAATTTAACTTGCAATAATTCCCATCTGAAGAAAAACATGTGATCCAATGCTCAGCATATGTCGCTGTATTAAAGAGAGTTTGTTTACTAAAGACGTGAAAATGTGGTGTGAACATCGATGACATGCTCGCCTGCAGAATCGTACGCCACTTTCTTGTTCTCGTCTCATTTACTGATAGTCTCCCTCGCAGCCGTTTTTTTTTGGATGTCACGCAACGCTCCCCCTTTTGGGGGAGCGTTGCGTGACATCCAACAACAAAAAAAAAAAGGCTGCAAGGGAGACTAATTTACTGATGGCAAGTGATCTATTTCCTGACACACACACGCGCGCACGCGCACACGCACACGCACACACACACACACACACACACGGCACGCAGAATGAAGTTGGGTGAATTTGCCAAACATCAATTACAACGTTACTCTATCTGTTTAACAACACTAGACAAAGTAGATGACGTGTTGATGTGTACCTGACGTCTGGTCCGTGAGCCATTCAGCATATGCTCCATCATCTTCTCAACAATATCTGACAAAACCAATCACAGCTGCTTAATAGGATTTCTTTTGGCGTTTTTAAAACCATCTAATACTTTAGTTTAAGTTCCAGATCACAAAAATGTTTAGAGGGTTCTCAAGGAAGCCCTGTCACCGCCATCAGTACAAACTGAGGATGAATAAAAACAAATCCAAAATGAAGAGTTCATTGGCCCTTGGGATTGGATTCGAATGAAACATAAAATACATTATACGAGAAAGTGCGCCCTAAAGAAAATAAGAAAAAAAAAAACAAAACAAACAAAAAACGAAAACAACAACAACAACAACAAAAACCATCCTTCCTCCTAAACGCAACGATAATAAATCAGAGCAGTTGGATGCAAACCATCCGAACAGCCACCCAGGAAACGAAATAGAGAATCTTTTGGAAGAGGAACAGAGAATTTGTTGTTATCTAAGAACTCTTGAGATACGTTTCCAGTCATGGCTTTGTATTCCACCAGGCATTACTGTTTCCTTGGACAAAACTATCATATTACCTTCTTGTTCTACTGAATTCTTATACTCCTCATACAGAGCTCGTAGCTGTTCAATTTCTTTCTCAGGCCACACTCCTTTCTTGGGTGGTTTTCTGAAGAAATAACATACGTCATACGTGTCCTAAGACCAGTTATAATTTAAACGTAAAATGCTGCTTCTACTATCACGCACAGACACGAAGAATCACTGAAATCCCTGCCTTGAAATACTGGCACAAAAAGCTCCAACATACTTGGTCAATTCCTTTCTGCTTGCGACCAGTTTCATTGCAACAAGCTTGTTCATGATCTGCAACCCAGAACAAGTAATGGTTAGCAGTGTTATGAACCAATAGAAAAAAAAA